GTGTCGCTGTGGCCCATAGCGACACTAGCTTTTTTTTTTTTTTCATTTTTTTGGGTTATTGGGTCTCTTTTTTTCTCCAGATTTATTCTACCAGTTTTTCTTTTTCATTTTTGTTTTTCTACATTTTTTTCCTTCACTTATTTTTTGCCCAGTTTTTTTAAATAAAATATATCTGTTAAAAATTATTATATACTCAACATTCTAGTAAATTATATTATCAATTTCATATAAATATATATTTATAAATTTATTATTTCTATAATTTGTTTATTTTATACATATCTATAGCGCCACTATTTTTTTTTATTTGAATTATTTACTTAATTATTTTTAAAATTTATTTATTTTATATTACAAATTAAATATTAATTTCTATTTATAAACTTATTTTTTGTGTAATTTCTTTTCTTTATATATATTTTTTTCCTTTAGATTATTTTATCACGAATTAAATATGTACTTTATTATTTATCACAGTGGCGCTTTGGCCTATAGCGACACTGTGTCGCTATAGGCCATAGCGCCACTATTTTTTTTTTATTTAAATTATTAACTTAATTTTTTTTTACATTTGAATTTATTTTTTTTTAAGCCGTTTGGTGGCGCTATGGGCTATAGCGACTTTATTTAAGCCGTTTAGTGACGCTATGGGCTGTAGCGACTTTATCTATATGGCTTTCATGGCTTCCCTGAAGTGAAAAAAATGACACGTGTCACCGGTGTCGCTATGGCCCATAGCGACACCGTTATAAACAGCCCCAAAGGCGTAAATAGTTTCAAAACAACCCCATTTACGTAATAAACTTTTAAAACAACTCCACTTTGGTCAAAAAGCCTAACTTCTAACACCTTAAAGAATACTATTATTGTTATAATATAAACATTAATAATGAGATAAAGAAGTGAGTTGGGTTTATATTTCATTTTTCATATAATCATTTTTTAAACTCTTCAAAAATTGATGCATGTAGACAAGACTTAAACATGAAAGTTTTACTATCCCAATGAGTTGATACGAGTAAAGAAAATGTACCGAGACAACAAAGATGTCATAAATATTTTTCAAATACCTTAATCACCAACTTTAACCCATAACACCCTCATATCATTATTATAAATATAAACATTGTCAATAAAACAGAGAAATTAATTTGGATCTCGCATTATAATATCTTTATATTTCATTTTTTATATTATCACATTTTTTTATTATTTTTTAAATTTTCACAAAATAAATTTAACCATATCAATAAGTGAAACTGAGTTTAAAAAATACATTAGAGACGATAAGAGTAACATAAATGTTCTTCAGATATTTTGAACTACTAATTTCATCTAGTAACATCCTAAATAATAATAATAACAATATTATTATTATATAAACATTGATAATGAAATGCGGAAATGAATTTGCGTTTCGCAATATAAAACCCTCCTATTTGCTTATTTTTATTTTTATTTATTTAATATTTTTTAAAACATTTGGTTAAGAATTTGTAAATTTTGAGTGTGCACTTGTGTTCAGAATAATTAATATATTTCAGATAATTTTTTAATAATTTTTTTTACTCGATAACTGAGATATTGTAAAATGAGTTGTACATTCCTAAAAAAAAATATAAAAACTATAATAGTAGAATAAAAATAGATATAGATATTTAAAATCAATATTTAAGTTATAAAGATGCATAGAATAACTATAACTTTAGTTTTTTTTTTGGAAAATCAATTAAAACTTCATGTATGAAAATTTAAAATGATTACAACAACTATATTGTAATTAGGAAAATTATATTTAAAGGTTAACATTTAGAAAATAGTATTTATTTAGCATAAAATTGAGTTTTAAGTATTAATTTATATTTTAAACAAAAGATTTATAAAAAAAATATAATAGTATAAAAATTATAAATAAAAAAATTTAACATTAGTTTTGGAGTGAGGTTAGACGTGACAA